AATTATCCAGCAAACATAATTTATTGAGTGCCTATTATATATAAGCCCCAGAGAAATTATACAGAGAAATGTAGTAGGATGAATATACAAAGCTTAGAAAAAGCTGGATCACCTATTCAAAAGTTAGCACATTGTTTTACTCAGACCTATTTTTATTCGTGTGTTTTCTGTCATTGTTATTATTAGTAGCCCCTAAGACAGAAACTAGGAATCATCTGTCATACATTCTTTACAACCAATTATCAAATGCATTCTGTTTAACTTTGTGTGTAAAATTTTATTATGATAAACTGCTTAAATATTAAGTGTTCATTTGCTGAATTTTAACATATGCATGTATGTGTAATCCAGTTTCTTATTAGGAGAAAACCTAATTATCAGAAAATTCTCATGTTGCTCAAGTGATCTACTTGATTTTTCACAACCAATACATTTCAGATGAAGCAGTAGCTTTATTCATTCATATCATCAGTGTATGTTAATGTGCCAGGTGCTGGAATGGAAACTAAGAATGCAGTGGTGAGCACAGAGTCCTTATTACAATTCAGTGAGGATACTGATAAGTAAATGGAACTTTATAACACAACTTAAGAAGAAAATAGAACTTCAACCTAGGGTGTTGTCATGCTACCTTGATCTAATCCTGTTTGGGTGTGTGGGCAAAGTGAAAATAAAATCTAACTTGAATTTGATAGGAAATAATAATGAAGTATGAAAGGAAGGAGAAATGCATGTTCCAAGGATATTCAGGGCCAGGAAACAAAAGAGCAGGAAATATTGTATAGCTGGAGAGGCAAAATTATCCAAGAGTACAACTAAAATACTGTAAACAAGACTTGAGTTTCCCTTTTTAGGTCAACTGAAAGTAGCCTTACCTTTGAGACAGGGATGATGTAAAATGACAATTTTATTAATTCCTGCCTTTGCACTCCTTCTGAACCTTAATTAAACTCTTGTTTTAGGAATTGTTTCCTAATTAGTGCTACATAATAGTAAATTATTGTTATTGTTGTCATCAGTATATCACCTACAGCTTATTGAATATTTCTAGGTGTCTTACCTTAAAACACACTCTCTGCTTACATTTTGTGGTAGTGATCCCCAAAGATAATGGTCACCTAGGATTATGTCCATGTTTTAACCTTGGAACCTCTGAACATTGTATGGCTGGGTCTTTATAGATTTTTGACTTAACTGCAGTAAAAATTATGAGACAACTCAACATCATAAAAACAACCAAATTAAAAATTGGTAGAGAGGGCCTCCCCGGTGGCGCAGCGGTTGAGCGCTGGGTTGCGAAGCTGCCTGCAGCCTCTGCAGCCGGTTCGATCCCCGGCTGCTCCCCGGCCACCAGAGGAGGGTCCCACATGGCGCGCAGACCTCTCCTGCCGCCCGCTGCTCCCCTCAGCAGTGTACTTCGGTCCTTCTGCCTGCTCTGCTCCCCGCTCTGGCTCTGGTGAATTCTCTCACCCTCCCACACTTCTGACTGTACCCAGTGCATGTATAAACCAAACAAACAAACAAATAATAAATAAATAAATAAGACATGCCTCTAGAAAATTAAAAAAAAAAAAAAAAAAAATTGGTAGAGAATCTGAATGGACATTTCTGCAAAGAAGACATACGATGGCCAACAGGCACATGAGAAATGTTCATCAGTTATTATCAGGAACAGCAAATCAAAACTGTAATGAAATGTCATCTCCCACCTGTGAGAATGGCTTATATAAAAAAGATAAACAGTAAGTATTGGTGAGGGTGTGGAAAAAAGGAATTCTTCATACGCTCTTAGTAGGAAAATAAACTGGTATAACCATTATAGAAAAAAGTATGGAAAGTCATCAAAATAATTAGGAATAGAAACACCATATTATCTGATTACTCCACTTATGGGTATTTATCTGAAAAATAGGAGAACAATGAATTCAAAGAGATATATGTTCCCCTGTGTTCATTGCAGCATTATTTCCAATAGCCAAGATCTGAAAACAGCCTAAGTGACCACCAATGGAAGAATTGATAAAGAAGATGTATATATACTCAGTATATACAATGGTATGAAAAAAGATAAAATTTTGCCATTTGCAACAACATGGATGGACCTAGAGGATATTAATGATAAGTAAAATAGGTCAAGCAGAGAAAAGAGATAATATATGACTTCATTCTATGTGAAAGTAAATAAAATAAAAGGACAGATAAAATAAAAACATATTCTTGGATTGTAAGGACAAAATAGTGGCTACCACAGGGGTTAAAGGGTAAAGGGGATCATTTGCATGGCAGTGGTGGATAAAAACTAGAATTTTGGTGGCGATGATAATGTAATTTATACAGACATTGAATTATAATGTACACTTAGGACCTACATAATGTTTTTTTTTTTTTTTTTTAAATTTTTTTTTTAATTTTTTTTTTTAATAGAGGCATGTTTTATTTATTTATTTATTTGTTTGTTTGTTTTGTTTATACATGCACTGGGTACAGTCAGAAGCGCGGGAGGGTGAGAGAATTCACCAGAGCCAGAGCGGGGAGCAGAGCAGGCAGAAGGACCGAAGTACACTGCTGAGGGGAGCAGCGGGCGGCAGGAGAGGTCTGCGCGCCATGTGGGACCCTCCTCTGGAGGACCTACATAATGTTTTAAATAAATATTGCTTTAATAAGAATTTAAGAAATGAATTTCAAAAGTTGTAAGATGATCCTGATGGGCCCAAACTGTAATCCCTAGCGTCCTTATAAATGAAGGGCCGGAGGGACATTACAGACAAGTAGAAGAGAAGACACACAAAGGAGAGTAGGCAATGTATTGATAGTCATGGACACAGATGAAGAGTGACACTGCCACAGAGTGAGGACTAGCACCAGCCCCAGGACCCAGAGAAGGCAAGGGATAGGTTTTTGCAGAGAGCATCTATTGGAAGTGTGGCCCTGCTGATGTCTTGATTTCAGCCCAAAGATACTCTTTTCAGACTTGTCTCCCTGATTGTGCTAGAATAAATTTCTGTTGTTTTAAGCTATTAAATTTGTGGTAAAATGTTACTGCAGCCACTGGAAACAATGCACTTGTTATTCAGAAAACCCATAATGGGCTTCTTTCTCTGTATATGCGCATGCCCTTTCCTTCACTGGAAATGCCTGAACACCACTCCACCTGTTAAGATAACTTTATTCTTTTATAAAGATTCAGCTTAAAAGCAATTTCCTGACCTAATCACTCTTACCTTTGGTAAAATGTCACAAATGACTAGAATAGTTCCTCATAGATAGTAATAGCTCAACAAATACTTGTGAAGTGAATTTTTGTCATGTATTATAATTATTCACCATTAGGTCCATTAGGTTTTGGGTTGTTTTTGTTTGTTTTTTGTTGTTACTTGTTTTTGAGATATATTTATATGTATTATGTATATGTACATTATATGTATTTATATGTATTATTATTTATATGTATTATGTATTATGTATATGTATATTTATTTATATGTATTATTTATATGTATTATACATATTATTTATATGTATTGTTATTTAGACATAACATGTATACCCTTAACGTGTACAATGTGTTCATCTGACACATTAATATACTGCAATATTATCAACACTCAGCTTTAGCTAACCTAGGTTGTCAAGTCATATAACTTATAATTTGTGTGGTGAGGGTATTTTAGCAGTTTCGAAGTATGTAATATGGTATTATTCACTGTGTGTGATTAGATCTTAGAAATTACTCATCTTCTAATTGTAAGTTTATGCCCTTTAGCTTGTTTTATTTTAAAGTATTCTTGATCTTCTTTCTTGTCTCCATCTCTGTTGCCAAAGCCTTATTTCATAACCATCGCTTTCATCTGGAATCTGCAGTATTTGGTCTCTCTTCCTCAATTTCATTTTCTCTTATCAGAAAGTTCTCACTTTAAATAATACTGGCTTTGTGCTAAGCCCCTGCTAATTGTCAGAGAACTGCTGACAGGCTACATTATCTCAGATTATATGTGATAATAAGCCTGGGTGAGCTGCTGCCAGGTCAGAAGTTGAAGGCTCACCTCTCCTTGGTTGGCTGTTAGGAAAATGGTCATTTCCAGTCTCCCCATATTTCCTCACCTATTGCTTCAAATCTTCTCACTTTGTTCTCTTTATTCAGCTGTGTTCTGTGTGATGCCAGCGTTGTTCTTTTCATTTACTGTTTGCTGGAATGTGAGGTTTTCCCATTAAGAGTTAACCGGTTCAGCCTAGGCAGATTTGTTTTAGAGATATGTTACTACTCTTAACCTAGATATTTTAATAAGATTTCTTGTCTCTCAACCCTTATAATGGGTACTTTTTTTTTTAAAGATTTATTTATTTATACAAGCACTGGATACAGTCAGAAGCGCGGGAGGGTGAGAGAATTCACCAGAGCCAGAGTGGGGACTAGAACAGGCAGACTGACGAAATACACTGCTGAGGGGAGCAGCGGGCGTGGCAGGAGAGGTCTGTCACGCCATGTGGGACCCTCATCTCATGTGGGTGGCGGGGGATAGAAGCAGTGCTGCAAAGGCTGCAGGCAACTTCGCAGCCCAGTGCTCAACCGCTGTACCACCAGGGGAGGCCCATAATGGATATATTTTAATACCACTGTGTTCCTTCCATTGAAATGAAACTACTCATGGTTTTTCACATTTTTGTACTTATATACATTGTAAGTGGTATAAGGCATGGGATGTGGGATGCCTTTTTCTTCTGTTCTGCCCGTTTTTAGCTTCTGTTTTATTATTTGGAGTCTCGCTAGCCATGAAAATGAGATAGACTTTGATTATCTACTTCCATGTTCACAGCCTGTCTGTATCTCAGCACTGCACCACAATACTTTGTATCTGTTAGGTGAATTTTGTCACATATAGGTATCATAACCATCACACAGACAGTAAATTCCCTATTCTGATTTTCCTCTCCATAGGCAACAGTTAGGATTTAAGAAGAACCTTAATTTAACTCTGTATTTTGTTTTTTTGATGTTCTAGGTCAGGATGGCTAACTGGTTGGCTTCCCACATGGTGCCCTACATCCACATCACACCTTAAAGAAGCTGAAGAGAAAATTTTAAAATGTAAGGTTTTCTTCTTTTAAGTTAACTGAGCTATTTTATGAAAATAGGCCCAAGGTATTGCATGGCCCTAAAACTCGAGATAAGATTCTATGGTGTTTTAGTTGTTGGCAAAAGAATCTTTTTTCCTTTTCTAGGTCATCAGCAAATGCATTAATGTGGGGAGACAGGGAGTCTCAAAGTTTTTGGTCTTGCATTCTTGATAAACTCTTAAATAGTAAGGACCACAAGGAGCTTTGTTTATAGATTAAAGCTTTTGATGTTTCCATGTTAGAAATTAAAATTGAATAATTTAAAATATTTTAATTTATTTATTTTAAAATCATAGTAATAAATCCATTAGATGTTAAAATAAATAGCATGTTTTCTAAAAAATAACTATTTTCCCCACAGTAATATAGTGAGAAGAGTAGCGTTGTTTACATATTCACATATTTCTTTAGTGTCTGACTTAATATCAGGTAGCCTGACTCATTATCTGCTTCTGCATTCAGAATGTTGATAATCACATAGCATGTGATCTCTGGAAAACTCCATTAGATGCCCATCAGAAAATGAGAGTGAAAAGGCAGTCTTAATATTCCTGTGAAAATAGTTTTATCCTCAGAGCTTCCTAAAAGGGCCTCAAGGACACCCCAGGTGTCCTCAGACTGCACTTTGAGAACAGACTCTAGATGTTTCAGAACAGGCAGCTTTGTACAACAGAACAAATACTGTACTAGAATCAGGTGACCTGGTCTAGGCCCAGGTCTGCAATCAGGTGGTTGGTTACAGGATCTTGGACAAGTCACTTTGTTGTGCTTTCTTGTTTTGTTTTTTTTTTTTTTTCCTGTGAAAGGAAAGGGTCACAAAATCCTTAGAATTCCTTTTGGTTATAGTACAAGCCTTTGATTCTGCATTTATAATGGTGTACAACCTTTTGTTATTGTTATTTCTAATGAACACTGAAATTTACCCATATGTGTACTGTCAGAGGATTCCCAGGTATCTATGGAATACTTTTAAGCAATAGTGTTTATTGTGCAATTAGAGAATTGGATTAAGTGGTACAACTCACATGCATGATTATTGTGTATGTGCAAATGTTTGTCTGTGCTTGATTGTCATCTTACCATAAATGAATTTTCTTGTTTACATATTTGAATGTTTCAGGAGTAAGTGACCATAACAGAATATATCCATAGGGAAGGGACAGTTAGCTACCTTACATGGATTTTTAACATAAAAATAAATCTTATTCACTCTGTATACTTGGCTAATAGCTGGGGAAGTTGTTGTGGTTTACTATAATTAAAAAAAAAATTCTTGTCAAGAGATTAGTTAGGGTGCTAGCTGCTCAATTCATTCATTCAACAAACATATTTCCTGCTACTTGGTTTTAGGTATTCAGATGGGAGTAAGAATTTACCTGTTAGAATATCAGACATGAAAGGAAGTAACTAATACAGTGGGGGACTGCTCTAAATGTGGTTGCTGGTGGTTTTTACTGAAATATGCAGAGATCTGTGTTCAAAAATGCTAAAGTGGTTTGACTTGGCACTAATGCTGGATCACTTCCTTTTCTAAACTGTTGGTATTTTTCCCCACTTGATGGCATGGACTCGGTTAATATTCTGAATGAATACTGGGTTTCCTCTTTGTTGCCACTATGTGGGTATAAAATCTGAAATTGTTTCTTTTGTTAAAGCACAAAAACTCCTGGTTTTCCAGCCTTAGTCCACTGTAGGTGAAATGTGCACAATTAAGGGGTATGTCTAAAGTGTAGCTTTTCAGTTGATTATTTAATGAAAATTAACTTCAAATTAGTTTCATCTTTTGTCAGTTTTAGGAGAGACGGGGTATTTTGCCCCACAGTATTGAAGGCAAGTAAGAAATTTTATTTACAAAATTATGACCATTTGCATTTTTCATGGGAGATTGTTGGACTTAAACTTGGGACTACCTGGTGCTTTATGCTGTGGCATTCACACCATGCCTGCCACCATCTTTCTACAAAATTTTGAAATGACTTAAGATTTCAGTTAGGTGTCTATTACAGATACTGTTAATCTTTCCTAAATTAATGATTACTTTTTAGGGAGAACTGTTTCTTTTGATTTTGACTTCAGTCTTCAATGCTTAATCTTCACTTGCTCTACAAATTAAATGTTCTCTTATTATTGTCGTTAGCGACCTTAAAGTAATGAATTCAGAGACCACTAAGTTCCTCTCTGATTTTAGGAGTGAAGTACCTTCATTTCATAGATGTGGAAAGAAGCACAAAGCACTAACATGACTTGACAAAATACCTTGGCCACAGGTATTTCAGATTTGTTTGAGATAGATTTTCCCACTAAGATGTAAAATACAGTAATTAAGAATTACTTGTGTCAATAAAAGGTACTTTTTTTAAAAAAAAAAGTTGACATAAAGGCTGAAGTCATAGGAATGGATATCAGATGATTTCTATTTATGATCACTTTGAAAATATTTCCCTTCTTAGAAGATGTGAGGCTTTTAATTTTCTCTTTTATGTTTTTTTTAGGTGTCCCCGGCACATACAAAAAAGAACCTGTTCGTATATCTAATGGAAATAAAATATGGACACTGAAGTTCTCTCATAATATTTCAAATAAGACTCCACTTGTCCTCCTCCATGGTTTTGGAGGAGGTCTTGGACTTTGGGCACTGAATTTTGGAGATCTTTGCACTAATAGACCTGTCTATGCTTTTGACCTGTTGGGCTTTGGACGAAGTAGTAGACCCAGATTTGACAGTGATGCAGAAGAAGTAGAGAATCAGTTTGTGGAATCCATTGAAGAGTGGAGATGTGCCCTAGGACTGAACAAAGTGATATTGCTTGGACACAACCTGGGTGGGTTTTTGGCTGCTGCTTACTCACTGAAGTACCCATCAAGGTAAGCGATGGTAACAGAAGAGAGGTACCCCAGTGCTAGTCTCTAGTTCCCATCCCACTCCTATCCGGGTAGGTTCTTGATGTCTGAGTATCACAAGATAGACATTCTCTTAAAGAACCTTATAAACTGGTAGCCACAATTGATGGCCAGTTTATTAGTAGAAATGATTATGTTACATGCTTCACAATGTAAAGGTTTGAGAAAGGATTTTCTATTTGTTAAATTTAGAGTGTATACAGTTTAAGCCACAAGTAATAATTATTGTGATGCCACTGCTTGTTGTTACTATCCTTAGACTTATGGATGCAGCAGACTTTTCTTAACCTTTTTCAGGTTATTGTAAGCTGTCATGGGAAGCCAGAAGGTTAGAAATTAGAAGACCTAGACATTAGTGTACTATCTTTGTGACTTAGAGCAAAGCTCTAGTTTCCTCTTTTCTAAACTACAGAAAATATATCTATATAGTTTCTCTTAGAGAGGTTTTTTAATTATTATTATACTATGCCCTAACCTTTATTAAGAATTAAGAATTATTTTTCAGTCATTGAATTGATGAGTGTTTGCATTGGAACTTTGTAGCAATTCCTCCTTTCTATGCCTTATTTACTTGTGATATTTCCTATTATTTACATTGGTATTCTGGGGGGAGGTCACATTTTATTGTTAAGAAAATAGAAGTAAAGTTCATTTTTAGTTTGCTTATTTTGGGGGAAAGAAGCAAAAAAGATAGGCATTTTTGTGTTGCCAGTGTGTTCTTCCATTATACTCACTTTTAAATCCAAAACTGGAACTGACTTTGACCTTGAAGTCCTAATGAGACATGAATGGTAGCAAGGTGAGGGTATGCACTTGTGAGGCTATCCTATTGCATAACTCCAGGTGTATTGTTTATGTAGAATTTGACAAGGGGAGCCAGGAGTCTTGTGTACCTGAGTTTTTCTTTCTCTAGTGCAGCCAACTTTTTCTCTAATAGAGAAAATTTATTGTAGTTTTATCTAAACTTTAGCATTTACACCTGATTTTTCCAGTTCATAGTCCTTAGACAGTAATAGTCTTGTCAACTGGCAGACCTCTTCTTTCAAAACAGATCCATATTTCTTAGTTAGCTTTTGGGGTTGCCATCTTTTATTGTAACCTATGCTTAGTGACAAAAGTCTACCTGTAGTTGTAGGAAGAGGAAGAGAGGATTACTTGTGCAACACAAAAATCTATTTGTAGGAGTTCGCCTTCTTTTGTTTTTTGCCAGATGTTTATTATGTCTGTCTTAGTGCATTTATCCCCTGGAAATGTGACATGAGACTCTGTGGGCTAGATTATGGTCATGAAATCCCTACACTTTTAGAATCCTGACCCTTCATGGCTCTGACTATTTGGATCATGTGGTAAAATTGTCATTTGCAATTATGAAATGCTATAAAGAAATTAAGGGGCTTCGGTGAATCGGAAGGGAATGACCACTTTAAAACCACCTACAGGAGAGAAGAACAAATTTTGAATGGCTTTGGGGACAGAACTTTTGCTTATTTTTGTTTTTTGTTTTTTTTTTTAAAGATTTATTTGTTTATGCATATAAGAACTAGGGTACAGGCCAGAAGTGTGGGTGTTGAGAGGACTCACCAGAGACAGAGCGGGTATGGAACAGGTGGTTTGACTGAAATACACTGCTGAGGGGAGCAGCGGGCAAGTCAGGAGAGGTCTGCTGCGCCATGTGGGTAGCTCCCTGGCCGGGGTTTGAACTCGTGATGCAGTGGCTGCAGACAGCTTCATAGGCTGTGTCTTAACCCTTTGCCCCACCGGGGAGGCCCCCCTTCACTTATTTTTGGAATAAAATAATTGGAAATGCCTTCTGTGATTTCACTTTTAGATTAATGTGCTGTGTATGGTTACTCACTGTGTTGAGGAATCTTGGTGTGCCACTCTGCAAAATCTTCACCACACAGTATCTGATCAATTGCCTTAAGATGGGAATGAATGGAGCGTAGAGTAAGCCAACTATAATAGCCAAAGTGTTACTTCCTTTCTTGCATCTGTATGTTCAGTGTTTTCTTCTAATTTTCCTTTCCTTCTGATACCTGTTGGTCAGAATATGTTTATCAAAGAGATCCAATTCAAATAAAATAGAATAGATTACAAGTAGTCTGCTCTTTTCCAGTAAAAGATTGTGAGATTATCTTGCCTTTTGACCTTCGCAGGCTTTCTTTCCTGACTATGTTCCTTCCTTCTATACTTCCTTTCCTAGACCTGGGCTGTGCATTTCTTGTCCACCCTTCTTGAGAAGCAAGGCCGTTCTACTGAAATGAAGTTGGAAGCATATTATTTGGTTTATTGTTTTCTGGGCTTGCCCCATTCTCCCTCTAGTGGCTTAAAGTCAATATAAAACATTTGGGGCTAACTTCATCTTGAGAATGCATCATTTGTACACTGACTGGAGTTCATTCTGGTCCTTTTTCTTATTGCTCCTTTCATTGTTCCATAAGTAGGTCCTGTAGACTCCTTTATGCAGTTTGGTTCTTTGTCTGATCTCTTAATTACATTATTTCCAGATGGTGGCTGACTTTCAATCTTATCTAAGTCAAGTTTATATATTCCTGCGTTTGGACTCAACTGTCCCAGCATGTTGGAGCAGCTGTTTTCTACCACTTTGCCCTTTAGGCTGTGATCTTCTCACCCTCCTCAAACTCAAGACCTATTCTAATGACTAACCTAGAGAAGAATGCTTCTTGATGTTTTGAAATTGATGGGATGTTCTGTTCTTCCTGCTTTGCTGGTTCATTATTTTTCCTACAGTTTGAATCTGCTTCTGATTCTTAACAAAGGGGTCTGGCAGACTTACATGTGTCATGCAGCTAGACCCATTTCTTAGATGTGAGCTAACAATCCCATCAGGTTATCTATAGAATAGTAGAGGTGTGTTCTGGATTATTATAATAGGTTAGATACATGGTAACACCAAATAATTCCAGTCATTATTATAATCCTTTTCACTAGCAAAGAGCCTGAGAACTTACAGGTCCAAGGCTAGAATGATGTGTGATCAGGCTTGCCTAAAAAAGTTAAGTCACTTGCTGTTCATGTGGCTCTAGCCACTATCAACCCATGCTCCTGAATAAGTTATTCTCCAGTAGTCTTCCAATTTGTGCTACTATAACCAGCTAACATTTATTGGATATTATTTGATAACCATAAACCTAAGTGCTTTGCATGGCTTATTTCTTTTAAAATCCTTATCATCAAATGTAAGCAATAATTATTTTCTGAGGCCTTTTACCTATAATGGAAGCAAACCATATATAGCTACAGTTTAGATATTGTTGCAGAGCTTTGAAATTTTTTTTTCAAAATCAACGATAAACCTCCATAAGAATTATATGTGTGTGTGTGTCTGAAAGAAAAGTTTTGTGAAGTAATATATTTATATATATCTTTCCATTCCAAATTATATAATTTTATTAAAAACAGATTATCTCGGACTCTCTAAATGAATTTTACTAGCCACTAATGCAGGACTAATATAAGAAATAATAGTGATATTCTGATGTCATCTCGGGGACCAGGAAAATTCATACTGGATTAACTCATCTGCTTACTCTATAATTATACTTCCTAAAAACTGTTATTTTTATAAATGAGGACCTAAAGGAAATACGGGAAAGCACCACACTCCCAATATTAAAATATATTTTAATAAAGAGTTCATTTTTTTCTTTAGGAGGTAATTTAGTGGTATAATACTGGCTGTTTCCTTAATATTCGTACTTCTGACATATCTCCCCCTCTTTCTATCAAATCTCACTGTGGGCTGTAATAAGAGGAGTTTTGGAGATAGTATCTGCCATTAAAAAACAAACAAAAACCCTCATTTCTATCCCCCTTCACATTAACTGTTAGAAAATAGTCTCATATAACTTTTAAGCTGTGAAGTCATCATAAGTATGTGGAAATCTCACATAATTACATCACTCCTTAGATGCATAGTTACATTCTCTAAATCATCCTGATGTCATAAAATTTAGAGTCTAATATTAAGCCTGGGCAAAGTTGAGCAAAGTTAGCCAAAGTTAAGCTTTACCTTTACTAACATGTTTGTCTTAGGTTGCTTGACCTGTTCTGAGGAGGGAGAACCTTCTGGCCAATAGCTTGTTTTGACATCTGGTAGTATCTTTGAGTCAAGGAAATATCGGATTTAGCCCTAGTTCTATATTAATTAGCCCTGTGTCCTGGGATGGATCACATAGTGCATCTCAGCTTCTCATCTGTGAGATGAAAGACTGCTGAATATTTCCCAAAGTCCCTTGCTTTGTGCTGGGTCTATGCTCTGAAGTTTCTGTTTGAGAAAATGCAAAGGTCTTATTACTAATTCATCCATATCTGTGTTGACAAAAATAAGAAAAAATTTTATATTAGGAATGAGAACCATCTGGAAAGCCATGTTAGAATCATTGTTAGTTCATTCTTGAAGATTTTGCTAGCATTTGTTGGTGGTTTTATTTACAGCTGAATGTCATCTTGTGGCAGGACCTTTTGCTTAGTTTGGGATCTTTATGATATATAATAACTGGATACAGCCACATGGAACTATTGCTGATAATACTGGTTTTCCTTCATGAGAAACAGGTCATGTAAGATGGAAAAAATGAAAACTATTACGACCTGAAACAATTTTATATGCAGTTAGACAAAAGACTTTGTATCCCTTTAGTCAGTAAGAAAGAAAATTAGGAAGCGATTAGGTAGAATCTAATCCCAGTATTTCATGATGTCATTCATGGGTAGGGGAGAGGTGTTCTCTTCATCAAACTGCAATCCCAGACATAGGGGTATACTTTCAGCATTATCCTCGTGCTTGTGAAAAGTTCATTGAAAGTCCCTTTGGACCCATCTAAAGTTTCAGTGCCTTTTAAATTTTTAGAATAGTAATGCATAGGCAACAGCTATTGTTAGTGTCTGAAGGTATTTTATGGATGTAATGTTAGTCTTTAGTCATTTCTGCAATATCAGTTTTGAGATACATGAACCATTGGATTTTTCTGAGTGGTCAATGATCTATGTCATCTCCAGTAGCTTAAACAACAAATGCTGTCTTGTTTCTCAAGAGTAGTCACACAGTTACCACATGGTTTTATAGCTCCTTTACTGTCCACATTTAGACATATTGAAAACAAAGCCCTCTTTTTACCATCCACCTCTCAAATCCTACCATATCTCAAAAGTTTGTGTGTAACAAAAGCATGATACAACCATTGTTCAGCTATTAGTCTTTATTTTTTTTTTAAAGATTTGTTTATTTATGCATACAAGAACTGGGGTAGAGGCCAGAGGTGTAGGGGTGAGAGGATTCAGAGGTGTAGAGTCAGAGTGGGCAACAGAATAGGCGGATTGACTAGAAATACACTGCTAAGGGGAGCAGCAGGTGAGTCAGGCGAGGTCTGCTGTGTCATGTGTGTAGCTCCCTGGCCAGGGATTGAACTTGTGCTGCAGTGGCTGCGGATAGCTTCATAGGTTGTGTCTTAATCCCTTGCACCACCAGGGAGGTCCAGCTATTAGTCTTTAATTTGAAGGTATTTGAAAGTGTTTCATTCTACCTTTATTTTGTACAGTCATATTAGTTCTTCATAGTCCTGGGGTGAAGTTGTCAAATGAATTTAAATCTATTCTTTCCCAAACAGGGTTAGTCATCTAATTTTAGTGGAACCTTGGGGTTTTCCTGAGCGACCAGACCTTGCTGATCAAGACAGACCAATTCCAGTTTGGATCAGAGCCTTGGGAGCAGCGTTGACTCCCTTTAACCCTTTGGCTGGCCTCAGGATTGCAGGACCCTTTGGTGAGTGCATATGACTGTGTCCTAGGAAAACAAAATGTTGATAGATTAACAGTATTTACTGATTAGTATTAATATTTAAAATCTTAGAGACAGAAAAACTGAACCTTACTTTTTCTCCTCTTCCTCTGAAAAGTACCACTCCTGGCATAAAGATGAATGAAACTATGTTCCTCTCCACAAAAAGGAGCCTCTATATTGTAATAAGTAATTAGGTGGGGGGCAGGAGGGGCCCTACACCCCCTTTAAAGCCTCTCACCTCAGGAGTGGGACTGTGGGGGGTTACTGTGGACTGCCTTAGCAGAGAGTATTGCTAGTATCTCGGGAAGATACTCTGAATTTATTTTTCTACAGAAAAAAATATGTCCTGGTTCATTTTAATTAGATGTTAATGTGTTGTAATTATGGGGAAAAAAGTAAGTTAATAATAAGTTAATTTTGGGCCTCCCCGGTGGCGCAGCGATTGAGCGCTGGGTTGCGAAGCTGCCCGCAGCCTCTGCGGCGCCGGTTCAATACCCGACTGCTCCCCGGCCACTGAAGGAGGGTCCCGCATGGCGCGCAGACCTCTCCTGCCGTGCCCGCTGCTCCCCTCAGCAGTGTATTTTGGTCCTTCTGCCTGCTCTGCTCCCCTCTCTGGCTCTGGTGAGTTCTCTCACCCTCCCACGCTTCTGACTGTACCCAGTGCTTGTATAAACAAACAAACAAACAAACAAATAAATAAATCTTTACAAAAAAAAAAGTTAATTTTATGTGTGAGTTACTCTATTCTCCCACCTTGTTAATAGAATTTATTTTTCTGCAAAAAAAGTCATTGAAAATTAACATGTTTTTGGGCTCCTAAAGCACATTTGTAAGTCAGTGTATAATACTCTCTAATACTTATTTTAATCTTTCCTTAAGGAACTTGAAGTGAGCAACTTCGAGGCTCTGTGCTTCTTTGCATCTAAACTGTATGAATACATGTATACACGTATTCGCATAGCATTCATTATACAAGCAAACACTAAAACTTTCTGTATTAGTCTATAAGTTAATTATCATTTAAATCCCTGATATGACTTTAAACATTTATTTCCTATTAAATAGGTTTAAGTCTGGTGCAACGTTTAAGGCCTGATTTCAAAAGGAAGTATGCTTCAATGTTTGAAGATGATACTGTGACAGAATATATCTATCACTGTAATGTGCAAACTCCAAGGTAAGAATTATGATTCTAAATTTATAGTGTGTGTGTGTTTTAGACTTTCCTCTTTTGAAAATATGTGAGTGTCCAGGAGACTTTGGTCAGAAATTAAATGACTAAGTTTTAAAAGACAACTAAATTACTAATACTCATTTTTGTCTGTTCATGAAATGCTTACTATGTAAAACAAGTACTAGATTCTATTGACATACATTCTTCCCCTAAAGTACTTATGGATAAGTTGAAGAAGTTGGTCTTCTTGGGCATGTCTAGGAGGTGGGCAAGGTTGAGAGATAAAGAAGAACTTCAAATAAATAGCACTCCCAAACTGAGTCTGAACGTTCTACAAAGAAAGGGTGCTTTATTAAGCAAATAAATGGTTTTGTGTATCATGGATCTTTTTAGAGCTTTTTAGACTAGACAAAGGGTATTAAATCTACCAGGTACGTAGGAGATACTTGGCATCATTTTTTAAATTCATTTGATGATTGTACTCCTCTTTTACTAAGCAGCATTTAGTGTTTGTAGACCAGTGTGAGAAAAACTGCAGCTGTGGTGAGGAGTAAGTGGAGGTTGGTAGAGGGGGAGAGGAATTCTGCATGTGTTTTTACAATGATTAGAAGCAGAGTGCATAACAATCAGAGGGAGCAAGAGGGTCAAGAAACAAAGATGGTTCTTATTTAAAAATTAAAAAATAGGACTTGGAGATGTTGAGTATAAGGCACTAACAGAGAAAACAGAGCCTAAAGATTGTGGAAAGCTAGGAGGAGACTGACAAACAACATCGTAGGGTTAAGGAGATGATCAGGAATGGAGTAGGAAAGTGAGAGATCCAGTTCTCATGCTTCATTGGGTACCAGGATTATTGGGGGAGCTTGTAAAAAATATGATGCTTGAGCCCAGTTTCTAGACTCTTATTCAGTAGTTCTGGGCTGCATCTTTAATAAAATATTTCCAATGATCCTAGTATAGATGTGCCATGGATCACACTTGAATGCATAGAACTGGTACCTCATCCTTTCTAAGATTGATATTTGGGTGGAAAACTTAGTCCACTTTTGGCAGAATATCTACAACTACTTCATTAAAAGATTGAGGACGTGGAGGCAATTGAGGTGTAACTGTAGTCCAGTCTTTTTTATAATGTAGGTTAGAGGTTCTCTGCCAAGAGTGAGGAAGGCTGGAAAGGTTTGTGGATCCTCAAGAGATTGATATTTAAGACTCAGTAGGCAATTGGGTTTGGTGAATTAGGTCTACACAATATTTTTTGACTTGTTCCAATAGTTTTTAGTGGTCTGTCCCAGGTACAGCATCCATTTTCCTGCATGGTCTTAGTGTTTTATTCTTTTATTCTTACACTGATGTTTCATGATTATGTGTACCCATATGGTCTTACTTTGTTACCTTTCTTATGGTAGAACTTGAATTCTTCATAAAAGCCATTCAGAAATATGTCTAGTATCACAAGGGAAATAGAAATGAAAGCAAAATTTGCTTCTTTTCCTTTTAAGTGATGAGCATTCAAAAATAGGACCCATGCTTCAGGATATATCCTGGGAGTTTTCAGATTATTCTGTGTTCTCCCATGTGCTCATACGTTAGTTGTGACAAGATGGGAGAGGCTCAGTAAAGCAGAGTTTATTACTGTACTCACAGATATCAGAGAGGAGAGGCACTGAACACCATGAGGAGTCACAGGGAGTACCAGATTTTGGTCAGGTGGTAGAAGGCAAGAGTGAAGGAAAAGCATAGGCCAGAGCCTTTTTTGGGATTTGCAGAAAAGGCAAAGCAGAGTAGAGTAAACACTTCAGGATTAGCTAGTTGAATAATTTCAGAGGACTCTGAGATACAGGGGTATTCTCTGATTACCTGGTACCTGGTCTTGGGATGATTAAGGCCAAGGAATATTGCTTCTTGAGATGAATGGGCAGGCAGGACAGTAGACCACAGCTCTAGATTGTTAAGGTTGCATATCAAAGGCGTGTTCCCCATAGAGTCCTTTGCTCTCCCTAAGAACTGGCTAGTTCTGGGATGCACAGTCTCTCCCCAGCCAGAGACATGTTTTTCAGATGTCAAGCATCATAATGTGCAAAAAACTGAAAAATATAAACAGTACACAAAGAATACTTAATCTGAATTTCTTCTTACCTTGGTATTAGATTTTATCATTGCAGGTAATTTAATGATAAGGACTTAGGGTTGTATGCTTTGATTTAGAAAATAATTTTTTTAATAACTAGAATTTATAGCAGCCTTGTTTATTTAACGAAAGTTTATATCATCTGTGGCATAGATACAGAAATGTATAACCTTCTGTGGTGTTTGTTCCATATACTTTCCAGTACATTATTTTCTGTTTGAGCTAAGGTTTTTCTTAAATAGAGGAGAAGCTAAACATGAATGTGTTTTGATGAGAGTGATGCAGTCTCATCCTCAGGAGTCATATTTATGATTTTCCCCATTTCCTTTAAGTGGTGAGACAGCATTCAAAAATATGACTATTCCATACGGATGGGCAAAACGGCCAATGCTCCAGCGAATTGGTAAAATGCACCCTGACATTCCAGTTTCAGTGATCTATGGTGCCCGGTCCTGCATCGATGGTAATTCTGGCACTAGCATCCAGTCGTTAAGACCACATTCATACGTGAAGACAATAGTAAGTGTGTGCCTTATTTTCAGTTGTAGGTTAAATCTGCTCTATTATTTTTGCCTTCAAAGAGATTGCAGGTCATTCTTGCTTGTTCACATCTGAGCTGTACCTACAGCCTCAATCAGAGACTGATGGGGCAGGGTTTGACCCACAGAGATCTTCATGTCAGATACTGAATCACCTTTCTTTGGGGACTTGCCTGTCCTGAGAGCCACAACATCTCTGAGGTGGGAGAGACTGAAAGACAGGTGCCATGGTCCTCAACTAAGTCCCACCTTACAGGGCAGCACATCCTTGCTTTGTTTAGTTTACCTACTGGTCCCGTAACTAGTGGTCAAATTAGAATAGATTTTTTTGTATATGAAAAAATTTAGAAAAGTCAACAGACTTTTCACTTTATTATCAGTTCCTTTATTTGATGAAAATACATTAATAGTATCTATGGACCAGTGTTGCTTATGCTTATTCTTTTTTGTCTTAGATATAGCTGTTCTTACTTTCATTGCTAAGTGTCTTTGTGTCTGTCATTGTGTTTTATTTACATATTATCTGACTTCTTTTCCTTTATAGGCTATTCTTGGGGCAGGGCATTATGTGTATGCAGATCAACCAGAAGACTTCAACCAGAAAGTAAAGGAGATCTGTGACACTGTAGACTGAGCACATTGAGGGTGACCTGAGAAACCTGCTGAATGGCACAATTCCTCAGCAATAAGTCCTAACTACGATGAAGAGTAAGGAATACAACAAAAGAACCATGCAGTCTTCCTGACTGTACTTTCACATGTTTTCTTTAGGAAGTCGCTTGCACATTTAAACCAGTTAGTGCCTTCTAGAAGAATGACTTTCCTTTCTCCTACACAAAATTGAAATATACAAGAGTCTCCAGATCTACTAGCTTTAATAAAAGGTTATTTGTCCCTCTGCTGTATTGAAAAATTGTAATTTTTCAACTGAAATTTTTTTCATTTCTAACTTTGCTGTGCCAGGTGCTTTTTATATTGTAGTTGATATTGCCAATTTTAAAAAGTGATTTCTGGGTCTATTTTATATACTATAAATGTGCACTTTATTTTCTTTTACTGCTTGTATTTGCCATGTCTAATAATTTGATATAGTTAATCAAAATTTAATGTATTTTTTGGCAAAAATTTGTCAGTTGTTTAGAATACTTCATTTTTGAAATGGAGTGATGAGACAGCATTTTGGATAAAAAGATGGGAGTTGATTAGTAGTGTTAATTTTTCTGATTTTCTTCTGTTCTCTATTTAGGCTATAAAGCCTTGTTCAGCATTTAAAATATGATCTGCAACAACATGCCCCTTGAAACCTTCAATGTGTGATATAATTCTATAATTCCAGGGAAACGTGGTATTAATACTTACGCGATTTATGTATTGAAAAGCCTTAACAGCCTGTTCTTCTCCCCCTCAATAATACTCTTCTTTCCCGTGAGCCAGGGTGCAGCAAAAGGAACATGTTTCCTTGATGAGAATATTAAGACTGTTACCTGTCATAAGCCAAATCATATATTTTCATTAATAGCTAACTTATAGATGGGTGCTAAAACTGGATATTTTTACCACTAAAATATAAAAATAGGTGGTGCTTTTATGTCTCATGGCACCAGAAATGAGCTAGCATTTGGATTTGGTGGTATTTTTTTTTTAAGTCTTGTGTTGATAAAAATACATACTTGAAGTAGTTACATTACAAAAATTCTATAAGTTAGACTGAACTATTTGACAATAACTACCATCAAAGTATCAAGTGTAGCACTTTCTTGCTGTTTTAAAATGAGGAAAACTAATTTGAAGCTGTGAAAAAGCTCTACGTGGTAACTGGCTGCTGAGTGACCCTTTGCAAAAGAAAATTGAATAGGATTGTTACCAACAATTGTTACCAACAAGGCATCTTTGCCTTATGTTTTACTAACATAGCTTGTCTAGAAGAAAGGTGATTATATAAATAAAAACAGTGAACTAAAGAAGATAATGGTTTAATGGTTTTGACTGTTGCCTTTTAAAAATAATAAGGAAGTTTGTAGTTGTTAAGAAATGTAAGGTGGTATCATTGTTGATTAACTGCCAGAAAGACTGAATGTTATATTTTCAACAAAATCTTCACTACAAAAGAAAAACAGATTATACTGAAGCACAGGTAGCTTCCCAATGAATGATTTGTCTTATTTATCAGATTATTAGTGCAAGAAAGTAGCATAAGAACCAAGATATGTTGTCATATATCTCTACCCTAGCCTTGAGTATTTTCAGTGACCAGATTCAAACCTATTAAGTGGTACAAATAAATTGGGTGATTTTTTTTTTTTTATATGACCCAATCTCTTAATTGTCCTTTGCTGGTAAATGACAGTTTTCACTTTTATAACAGGGTTTCTGTGCAGGAAACTTTGTCCCCAGTTTCTAAGTTCACCATTAAAGAGGGTGTCTGGTCACGCTGTGTGCCAAGTAACTCAGGAAAAATATGTACCAAATGTCAAGTGGAACTTCCTTTCCTATTGACTGATGTTACTTATTTCAAAAATGTTGTCACAACTCTTTTTAAAAGTTAATTTTTACTTTGGGATACAGTGTATGTAATTTTGTAAAGATTGAACCAGCCTAGAAGGTCACAATCCTTGAAGTTGTGAAAAGTCAGTGTGAAGTATTTTTTTGAAAAAAATCTATTACAGTGTTTGATCTTTGCTAAATTATGCATAATGTACTTTAATTCATTTTATGGAATAAATTTTACTGTGGTAGTCATAAGACAGCTGCTGTTTATTTTCTTGAGTCTTTGGTACAGCCCAGTCTGTTCATACTAGTGTGATAGAACCATGAATCCAGCGAGTGTTCAGTAACACTTGGCTGGCATTTTGAGAGAAGGCTGTTCTGTGGTTGTGTGACCTCCATGTTGGTTTTACCTGTGTCCGAGCATCACTTAGTATGATTTCTGTTTTCTCTAAAACTAATTTTCAAAGATAAGTTTGCCTAGAACTGGTTGTAGAATATTATTTAGAAAATAATATTGAAATGTCTCCATTTATGCATATTTCACATATTTAAGGGGCATAGTAGATCCCAGTGAAACAAGAAGAATTTTTCCTGTATAAAGGTATTAGAAAGAATAAACAGCAATAGCCAGAAGAACTTTAGAAAAATCAATGGGGACAGAGGGATAATCCTCCTAGATATTATAACATACTATAAACAATATAAAGAAAGTCCAGGAATTTAGCCTATAATAAAGGAAGCAGCTTATTGAGGGGACTTTGAAAGTGGTATTTAGACGAGTATGTTTATATGGAAGAAATAAAATTGAATCCATTTTTCACACAGCACACAAGGATAAAAATCCAAATGAATCAGAGAGGCACTTGTAAAAATTAAACCTTCTAAAGGAATGAATTCTCTTATAAGAGAGGAAAAAACCTTATTATGACTGACATTTTACAGGAAAACTTATGTCTTTAACTGAAAATAAGAGTTTTGGATGGCCAAAAAACATAAGTAAACTGGCAAAAATATTTTTAGTATTTACCATGAAGGGCTTATATAGCCCTAATAAGTGAAGAATTTCTAAATTTTGAGAGTCTTTGCCCAAAAGAATGGGCAAAAAGATGAATGGACAGTTCACAGAAAATGGAATGCAAATAGCCCTTAACCGTGAGAATATGCATAAGAGAAATGCAAATTAAAACCATTATGATACCATTTTGTATCTGTCCGATTTGCAGAAATCCAATTCATATAATGCACTGTGTTGGTCGAATAGTGAAATGTACAAATTACTGTGGATGGGATTTGTTAATAACTAGCGAAATTAAATATGAATTTATCCTTCAACCTGGCAGTCTCTTCTAAGAATCTATCTGAGATGCACTGACAAAAAATATGAAATGATGTATGCATATGAAAATCTTCATTACAATACTATGACAGCTAAAGATGGGAAGCCACTCAAATCTCCAAGGTAGGGAATCGATGGAAGAAACTCTGATACATCTATTCTATGGAATACTACATATGTTGTCTGAGAAAAGAGGAGACGAAATTACAGACAAAATATGTGTTTGCTTTTTTATTATTTAAAGCATTGGCAGTATTATACAATAGCCAGTAAATCAATTCCTTTGGTGGTAGTGGTGGTAGGGAGTTAATAGGGATGGCATCTACATCTGTACTTTGTTTCATACTTTTTTGCTTTGGGACCCTGTCAGTATTTTCTATAATTAAAACTTTAAAAGCAATTCTTAAAACATGGTGGTGATATAACTACATATACAAGAATTATTTCAGATGACTCTAAAGCCCAGCATTATGTCTCCACTTACCTAATGGAATATATCCTACAGAGAAAATAACCACAAAGAAATCTTAAATTGCATTCTGTATTTTTATTTTTAGTAATGATAATGGTGTTGTCATTTTGAAACTGTGTGCATATTTATATATGACAAAGAAAATATTTACTTATTTCAGTGGGATTGAACCAAAATTTTTAGCACGAGAGACATGAATAAAATCAAGGGGGAAAAAATCCTGTAATGTGTTTTTTAATAGGAAATGCCAGTGAAATACTGTGACTGGTTTTGTCTTTCAGAAAAATGCCTGTTACATAGCATGTAGACCTTGAAGAGATTTAGAAGCAGTCATAACCCTTAGAGGTAGGTTCACCCTGACACCCAGACTGTCCCACTGAAAGGGGCAGGGAAAGGACATGAGTCTGGAAAGTCTTGCATCTGAAAGCAGAAGCAATCAGAGTAAGATCATGCTGAAAGGAGAACCAACTTGTAGGGACTCCCATTGGTCAAAGATGGAAAAAATTGAGCATGAGAAAGAATAGTAGATTGAAATAAGAAATATAGCATTCCATGAGGTCATGATAATAATAAACTATTGATCACCTTTGGAGGTTATTGGAGCACTAACTCATTTAAAAAATTACTAACTGGAAAAATGGAAGTATTTTTCCTGATTTCTTGGCATATCAGCTAAAATGAAGGAAAATTTCTTCATTTACTCTGGTGAATTCTCTCACCCTCCCGCGCTTCTGACTGTACCCAGTGCATGTATAAATAAATAAATAAATCTTTAAAAAAAAAAAAAAAAAAAAAAAAAAAGGAACAACCTGATGTTACATGCTCTGATGGGTTGTAATAGCAAGAACCCACATCAGCCATGAATTACTTGCCAAAAGAAACACATTAAACCTGCGTCTTATAAGCCTGTGCATCTAATGATCAGTTTATAAAAACACAGGGTATTAAGGAACATGTTAGCATACTAATTCCAGAATGTGTGAAATTCCATGGGACAAAAAAATCCAGTTTCTTCAGCAAAAGTGAAGGTATAAAATAAAGATGGTGATGGTGGTACTGAAAGTTTAGAAAAACTTAATGCACTTGTTTGGTGTTGTATATCTGGTTTGCCACATTGCCTTACTCTGGCCACTTGTTGTGGAGACAGGTTTGACAAACTCAATGACTGCCCATTTTCTCCTTGGCAAAATTAAGACATATTAGCCACAATGACTACAGTGGTGGGATGGGCGCGTTACAAACATTACTGCTGTGTTTGCTATGTTTATAATGAGCTATATCCTACTTCTAAACCTATAAATGCTTCCTATTTTTTATAATACGAAGTTACGGTAATGGAAGCAACTGAATGTTGAGACCAGATGCCAGACATGAATGACTGGCCTTTCTGTGCCAGCCAGCGTGCTATATTTCTGATGTATGAAAAGTCCAACCATCTTTATATCTATTTGACTTGGAAATGTGGCTTTCTGTGTGGTGGAGAGGCACGGGGCTAGGCAACAGAGAGAGTAAAGGATGGCAGAGGAGGGGCCTCATGCTCACCTGTAGGAGACTACTGCAGGACAGCTGTCCTCTCTCCAGGGTCCCCCTTTTAAATCAAAAAGT